GTTCGCTCCGACGAAGGGCTAACGCTCGAAACGTCAGCTTTTGTAATCATTACGGTGGCCAATTTACCATTTCAACTTTGTTGATATATCCAAATTATATCTACGTTCAATGTTGTCATTATTTGTCTACTCTACAGAAGAAAAAAATTAATTCCTCTACATGCAATTTTGGAAAAGCACAATCTATTTAGAGGGTCTGGATGGAGGAGGGGGTACGAATGTCAGTTTTCAGTTAAAATCTCGGCCATTTATCGTTGTCAGTTGAGTTTTCGGCCATTTGTCAGTTGTCAGTTAAATGACTGTTAATGATTAACTTGGCAAGTTAATTATTACTTTCCGACCCTATAATTTTGGCCTAAAAGCCCATAAAGCGTAAACTCGAAAATTTAGTCGAAAACTGATACAATAAGAAATACATTTTCCTAGTTCTGGAATGAAATAAGATCTTTCAAATGACTTTCAGTCACTGTTTAAGTCAGATACGACTCTTCTGAACACAAACATAAACAGCGCATATTAACGCACATATAACCGCGTAAACTTCAAAAATTAAGTCGAAAACTGATACAATAAGAACTGCTTTTTCTCCGTTCTGGAATGAAACAAGATCTTTCAAATGACTTTTAGTCATTGTTTCGTCAGTTACAACTCTTCTGAACACAAACTTCTGTTTTTCCATGCGCAACATTCCTTTGCAACCACTTAACGGGTCAAAACGTCGGAAAGAAGATCATCAGAAAGAAACCAACTTGTGAAAAGTCTTCTAGCACAATATATTTGATTTATGTTTTGTTTTACAAAGCTTCGATTTCGGTTGGCTCCGATGAAATGATCAGAGAGGAACGTTATTTTGTCTACTTTTCAACTAGGTTATTAGAGAAAGCGTGCCTTAGAAATCCAGGCGAAAATAAGCGCGAACTGGCCGCCTAAATCTAGAAACCGTAATTGGGGTAATATCTTCATCCTCTTGGTGAGAAAAGTCATTTTCTGAGTCCGTGTCATATTTGTCTGCGTGTATTCGCACCTCAGCAACTGCCACTTCAACGATACAGTCGTCAACAAATGTGATATCTGTCACATTCCAACCTTTTAAAGTAGCTTGGACATCTCCTTTGTCGCTGCTGAACCTTACTGACTGATCTCCCGAATTAAAATCGTTACCTAGTCCCGCCAACAAGTCCACTTTGGTGGAATCTTGTTGCTTCGTGTAGACAGCCGGTGGTAAAGCCCCTGCCCTGTCCTTGGTAGTTTTCTCCCGAACTGTCCTTTGCCTTAAGGGACGATACTTCTCCCCAAATTCTTTCATAGCATTTTCAATCTCGGGGTCGATCTCTGCTGAAGGTAGACGTCGCATAAAGTTAACATTTGCAAACTCCCTGCTGGTCTGAGGAATAGGATAGTAGGATTTTTCGTGAGTACAATACTTGGCTGCCCATTTCGTTACTCTCTTCGACGAATCCTTGGTAATTAGTCCAAAGTCTTGGGAATACTGTAATGCGGTGAAGGTCTCGTGCTTAAAATGTGAAACTAGTAGTAGATTCTCCACAACTGTTGTGAGTAATGTGCTCAATTCCAATATCTTAGAGATAGTCTACGTTGTTAATTGAAGCTATGCTGTTGTGCAGGCGGCGCATTCCTTCCTCGAGAAGTTTAAGTGAGACTTGAGTTTTATGTGACACACGGTTCATTCGGGGCCGTTAGTTACTGTGGTTTCTTTATACTGTGCCCTTGTTTCACCTCAGAAACGGTTTTGTAATGTTATCATTTACATGTGATACTTTCTCTACGGAATTTTGAAGAGACAATTGTGCTTTCTTTATGCTTTGGGCTCCGATTCCAAAACTGTCATAAAGACTTCCAAGAACGACGCAGTTCCACTTTTAAGACTACTAACAACGACACAGTACCACTGAGTCCCGACGCTAGTCTAATGCAACCTGTAGCCACATCCGATATGAATAGACTCTTCTTCATAGAACAGATGCCATGAACTTTCGTAAAAGGTCACTTTTCATTCGTTCCTTCACTTGCTCCTTTCTGACCAAAGCCCATAAAGGTTTTAACATTTTTCTCAGAAAGACTGAAGAACTTTACCTTTTGATCCCCCGAGTCAGTGAACGCTAGTCCGTCTTCAAATTCGCAAAGTCTTTTGATTTCTCTACAAGACTCCGAGTTGTTCTTTAGAAGTTGGTCAACTTCAAAGCTTGAAAGGTCGCAAACGTAAAGGCCACCGTCTAGACCGACTGCTGCAAAGTAAGCTCTTTGTTTGAGAACTTCCGTAGATATGATATTCAAAATGCCAGTCGGGTAGGTCACGAGTCTGACTCCGGTACGAGCAATGCCAACTCCATTGTAGTGTAATGTCACTTGTATAATTTCTCTCTGGGCATCGTCTGCACACAACAGAATGTTTTCACTTGCAGCACAGGTTGAAGTTGGCTTTTCTAAAGAAGGGCGAACCTGGACAAGATTCGAGTTTCCGAATTCATCACTTAAGATATCAAGGAGGTGATAAGAACAAAATGGTATATCTCTGCGATTTTTACTCTAAAGCCATAAGGTGTGTAAGAANTCTCTAATTAGTGTGCTTTGGAGAATATGCCCAGCAGACAAACATCATGAAACAGGACAATTCAGTCGCATCACTGCGACTCTATAAGATTTAACTTTTCACAGTCACTTTAGCTATGTCATTATAATCTACATAAAACATAATCTACATGAATGCAAGGAAGAGAAAATTCTGACGGCGCTTATAAGTCGGCATCTAATGGGCGTTTTACAATAAAGAGCAGGCTATGAACTGATATATTTATACCACTGACACCAAATACCAAACCACTCCAATACATACTGTTTAATCCGCTTCCTGTTCCAGCCAGCATGGCCGGAAGCTCCAAAATTCTTCTGCTCGTCCGTAGTTAACGCAAAATTATCGCTCTTGCCGCCTGATTTCGGAGCCATGTGATAAAGTTTCACATCAAAATCTCCGAGGCCATATTTACCAGACAACTCCTTTAGATCGAGGAGCGAAAGAAGGTG